GAGAATCTCCATTGAATATATATATATATATATATATATATTCAATGGTGATTCTCATCAAATTATGTGGCTCAAAATAACTTCATTTTCTTGTTGATTTATCCATTTCTTTTGATTTTGGGATAAAACATGTATGAATAGTTACTTATCCATAACAATTCCCCATGCATGATTTTTACAGCAAAAAAATGTCAGAGCAATCCAAATCAATTTTCTCTCCCCTACAGAAAATGGACAAAAACAAAGATGGAGTTGTAACATTGGAGGAGTTTGTGCTTGCCTGTCAGGAGGTATGTTTATATTGTTGTATATTTTATTTACATCTGCCTTAGACTTTTGGTGAATTTGCCATGCTCCTTTCTCCAAACCCCACCCCCTAAAGACATGCCAGCAATCTTAAACATGCAAAGTAATGGTTCAAAACCAGTTACTCTCAGAGCCTTTTTACTGTTTACAGAGCCTGATTGTTTGTTTCAGTGACATCTGTCAGGTAGAAGTGTAATTTTACACGTGATATTTACATTCCAAATGTAATTCTTTTTTTAATGTGGAAAAAGCCACATACTGGGTGTATTTAAAGGGGTCATATGATGCGATTTCAAGTTTTCCTTTCTCTTTGGAGTGTTACAAGCTGTTCGTGCATAGATAAGATCCCTAAAGTTGCAAAGACTAAAGTCTCAAACCCAAAGAGATATTCTTTATGAAAGTTAAGACTCGTCCACCCCCTCCTAAAACGCCTCGTTTAAACACGCCCCACATATCTACCTCACTATGTGGAAATATCACCGCCGCCGCCATGTTGTGAAGACGCTGTGTGTTTCGTTGCGAAAGCTAAAATACGTTGTTTGGTCTTCCAAAAGAGGACACGACTAGAAATCAGTGGTTAAGTTGTAGTTACAACACTGTTCCAGAACAGTTCAACCCAAATATTCAGATGTGTGCAGTGCATTTTATGGAGGACTGTTTCCTGGGAAAGTAGACTACAATACCGGTGTTCCGGTGAACTCAGTTCCCCTGTTTCCCCTTCGGCACATGCTGACCACAGTCTACACTTAAGAAAAATGGTTCTGAACTGTACCAAAAAAGGGTTCTTCGGCTTGTAACAATAGCAGAACCCTTTTTAGTGCTAAATAGAACCTTTTTTATAGGGTTCCATATAGAACCATGCTTTGAAAATGCTATATACGACCTTATTGGTGTTATAAATAACATTTTTAATGATAGTTTTTCA